TATCCTAAGGTTGTTTATGTAGTGCAGCCAAGTAATTGAGCTAAAAAAATCCCTTAAAGAGAATTTGGCTACAGTGTTTTCAAGTCATTTCTGACTTATGGTGACCCTAAGGTTAACCTGAGAGCCCGTGTGGTGTAGTGGTTTGAGCACTGGACTACAAGTCTCGAGATCAGGGTTTGATTCCCTGCTCAGCCATGGAAACCCACTGGGTGACCTTGGATGAGACACATAATCTCAATCCCAGAAGACTCTGTGATAGGTTTGCCTTAGAGTTACCATATGTCGGAAATGACTTGAAGGTTCAGAAGATGTTTGCCCTTGCCTTCCTCTGAGGATGAGAGAATGTGATGTGCTCAAGATCACCCAATGGATTTCTATGGCTCAAAGGGGATTCAAACTCTGATCTTCCACAGGTTTCAGCACAGAGCCTATGAAGCTATTTTTAAGGTGTATGTGGGGGTGGTTCAACGCCGGCAGGCAAATCATTATTAATTTTGCCTACTAACAGTTACACTTTCTACAAATAATTGAAAACACAAAAGGCATTGCATTAAAAGAACAATAACCAATTGAAGCAAGAAACAATCTGGCTACCATGAAAATAAAGGCAAAATACTAAATCCATGTTACAAAACAGATTAAATAAAAATAAATAAAACAAAACAAAAAACAGCCCACAATTGAAATATCAAGCAAAGAAAAATATACAAGCCTGTATTAATTGAATGAAAAGGTGCCTTTAAGGTCTCCTATTTCTCCATCCACTTCGCTACTTTAAAAGCAAAAGCTGTGGAGATATGTTAGAAAAAAACCAAGATCACACACACAATACTCTCAAAAGAAAATGTAAAAATAGGCCTATCTTCCAAGCTTCACATGTAGACAATCAGATGTAGGGCACAGTCAGGGGGATGGCAAATTATAGTTCCCATCCAATATCATTCAGTCCTCCTTAAATATCAAGATTCTTAGAAGCACAATGTGTACTTAGGAGTCCCCTCCATGTGTACAGAGAAGCTTAGAGACTCCTTTGAGAGTCTCATGTAAAGTGGCATAATGTCGCCATTTTTCTTGATCTTCTTCTTTTTTCTTTTTTCTTTCCCCCCCCTGTTATTAATATTGTTGCAGCTAATTGCTGTATTTTTATTCTATCTGGCTTTTAAATTTATCTGATTTAATATTCTTTTAAGGGGGCAGGGATGGGATTGGGATGTAGCGTATTTTTAACATTAGCCGTCCCGATTGTTCTCAGAGGGGCGGGGTATAAATAAATTATTATTATTATTATTATTATTATTATTATTCCCAAGTAAGTTGTGAATACAATAGATGGCTTGTAGTCTTTGGGCTCATTCCCACTTACATTTAACCCAGTAGGTTGGTGACTTGATTCCAGTCCATGCATCGTTCCCACTGTAGAAGCGGGTCTTTTCTTTATTCGCTTCCTTTTTGGCATGATTGTCATTCCCACTAGTTTGTGCACCTTCAAAATGCCTGTCAATCATCTATGCATCATCAGTGACGCAATCGGCAACACATTCAAGAAAACACAGAAGGGAGTCATGGGTGCTGTGGTCAGAATCCCCTCCCTCACTAGTATCCCCTCCCTCACTAGTTTTGGGGGAAATCCACCATTTCCCCCTACCTCTCCTTTCCAAGGACTCATCCTACATTCCAACCTTCTGTCTAGGAGGAATTCCAAAATACCCACCATTTTGAGCTTGACTAGGAAGCATGTCCTCCAAGTCCTGCAAGGCT